CAGGCCACCTCTCAGCCTCCGTTTCCACGTTCGCAAAGCTGGTGAAAGCTCTGGCGGAACCCCCGCTTCAGAATACTGGGCCCTACCCTGGGCCTGAAGCCTGGGCTCCCTGGGAATGGGTCCTGAGAATCTCCAGAGGGTCCCGAGGCAATCAGGTTGGACCCCACAGCTCAAGGGCCACAAAGATGGCGATGCTCCATGCAGGTCCTCAAGAAACTCAGCCCTGCTGGGGAGACACACCTGAACAGTCATCCCCAAGTGTGATAAGGCCCGTGAGGGTGGCACAGATGTGGCCATGCCAGGGGACCACCGTGGAAAGCTCGTCTGCATTGGCTTCACGGAGGAAGCAACACCTGGGTAGTGTGTTGAGGGCAGTGTAGGAGTGTGCCCGGTGGTCAAGGGCGAATGAGGCTGCCCAGCAGGCAGGGCGGCCCGAGCAGAGGCGTGGTGGCTGGAGCTCACTGGTGTGTTTGGGCGCTGGGCTGTGGGTGGGGTGGGGAGATGGGGGCACTGAACGAGTTATACGGACGCCTCATCCCTGAGTCTTGAACTCTGAATGCAGACAGCAAAGTGCTCCCCGCACTGACCCATAAGGCAGGTGGAGCCCGCAGCATCAGTGGCATCCAGGGGAGTGTGACAGGAGGGTGACCAGGCGCCAAGCCCAAGGGACAGGTGCGACAGGAGCCACTGGGCCTCCACCCTCTGCCCCATAGGGCCCCTTCACACCGAGAGCTCCAGCCAGGCTCAACCACAGGCAGCTCCCCAAACACCACCCTCCTCCCCATGCCTGGCCTCAGCACGTGCTGTTCCCCCTGCCCAGACCCCTTCCTCCTTCCTGCAGCTCTTTGCTGGGCGAACCTTTTCTCAGCCTTCAGGTTTCAGGGCTGAGGCCAACACGGGGCCTCCAGCTCCTGCCTCAGGGCAGAAGAGAGATGAGGGAGACAGCAGGTGGGGCTGCAGAGGCAGGGGCTGCCATGTGGTTAACCTGATGCAGACCCCCAGCCCTCTGAGGAAGGCTGGGCGTGAGCCTGAAGGCCAGGCCTTGTAGGGAGTCTGGGACCCCTGGGTCATTGTCCTGTGGGTTTGAGGGAGCAGATGACTGGCCTAGCACTGGCAGGTGCCACCGAGGATGGTAAACAAAGCTCAGCTCAGCTCGCCCTCCCTACTCACCAGCGAAGAACTATGCTCTGCCCCCTACAGCCTTAACATGTTGGCAAGCATGTCCCATCCCAGGAACAGGCGACTGTCACAGGCCAGGGGCAGGTGGCAATGGTCAAGGTGTCACTTCTGGAGCCGGACTGCCAAGCCTCAGGCCAGCCTGCCTCTTTCTGGTTATGAGACGTTGGCCGTTTGCTTAACCCTCAGTGACTTAACACAGCCTATTCTACTGTAATAATTATGTATTTATTTCAATGTGCCATCGAGAGACGCAATCAGTGCATCAATTCCCATCGTAGATATTATTGTTAGGACAAAGCTAACCTGGGTATTTAAGGGATTTTTAAGTAAGTCTGTTTAAAGAAAAGTACTAAGTAAATAATAGTGCAGGTTCCAGGTGGGAAGCTGGTTTGTAAGTGATGAAAGTGAAGGTCATGCCAGCTGGGAATTTCCTTGGACCCAATAGTCTTCGAACTGTTCCGCAGACCCTGGGAGCCCCAGAGGGTTCCAGGCAGGCAGAGATGCACAGACTAGGGGCTGGGAGAGGGTTAGGGTTGCTCTCTGGGGAGCGTGAGGAAGCTGCTCACCCCTGTGGACTAAGCGCTCCCCCCGGTGCAATTAAAATTTGTTTATTGTGAGCTTATTTTTTCCTGCTCTTTTTATCGTGGTAAAAGACATAACCTAAGATATATAATTCTAACCATTTTTCTTTTCTTTTCCTTTTTTTTTTTTTTTTTTTGAGATAGGGTCTTGCTCTGTCACCCAGGCTGGTATATGATGGTGCAATAATGGCTCAATGCAGCCTCAATCTCCCTGGTTCAAGGGATCCTCCCACTTCCTCCCGAGTAGCTGGGACTACGGGTACATGCTACCACACCCCACCACTTTTTAAAAAAATGTTTTGTAGTGATGGAGTCTCACTGTGTTGCCCGGGCTGGTCTCGAATTCCTGGCCTCCTCCCACCTCGGCTTCCCAAAGTGCTGGGATTACAGGTGTGAGCCACTGTACTTGGTCTTGTCTTTTTTCTTTTCTTTTCTTTTCTTTTCTTTCCTTTCCTTTCCTTTCCTTTTCTTTTCTTTTCTTTCCTTTTCTTTTCTTGTTTTCTTTCTTCTTTCTTTTTCTCTCTCTCTTCTTTCTTTCTTTTTCTTTCTTTCTTCTTTCTTTCTTTTTCTTTTTTTTCTCTCTCTCTTTCTTTCTTTCTTCTTCTTTCCTTCTTTTCTTTGTTTTTGAGACAGGGTCTCACTCTGTTGCCCAGACTGAAGGGCAGTGCTGAGAACACGACTCACTGCAGCCTCCACCTCCTAGGCTCAAGCAATCCTCCTGCCTCAGCCTCCCGAGTAGCTGGGACCACAGGATGTGCGCCACTGCACCCGGCTAATTTTTTAAAAACATTTTGTGGAGACACAGTCTCACCATCTTTCTCAGGCTGGTCACAAACTCCTGGGGCTCAAGTGATCTTGCCTTGGCATCCCTAAGTGCTAGGATTACAGGTGTGACCCACTGTGCCAGGCCACTTCAACCTTTTTTTTTTTTTTTTTTTTTGAAAAAGAGGCCCGCCCTGTTGCCCCGGGTGGAGTGCAGTGGCTTGATCTCGGCTCCGCCTCCCAGGTTAATACCATTCTTCTGCCTCAGCCTCCCAGTAGCTGGGACTACAGGCGACCACCACCACGCCCGGCTCATTTTTGTATTTTTAGTAGAGACAGAGTTTCACCATGTTGGTCAGGCTGGTCGTAAACTCCTGACCTCAGGTGATCTGCCCACATCGGCCTCCCGAAGTGCTGGGATTACAGGGGTGAGCCACCATGCCCAGCCCATTTCAACAACTTTTAAGCATCCAGTTGAGTGGCATTAAGTACAATCACAATGTTGTACAACCATCACCACTATCCATTTCAGAACTCTCTCACATCTCAAAAAGAAACTCTGCTTCAGTCAACTAAAAACCCCCTATTCTCCACTCCAAAACCTCTGGTAACCTCTATTCTACTTTCTGTCTCTATGAATTTGCCTATTCCAGGGGTAATTTTTTCCAACGGGCTAATACACATACATGGTAAGAATTCACGGAGCAGAAAAGTTTCCCTGTCCCCTCATGCTCTTCCCAGATGAACTGCTGTCGCCAGTTTCCTGTTCATTCTTTCAGAGATATTCTGTGCACATACAAATAGGCATGTGTATACATATCCTTTCATTTGTTTACAAAGTGAATATGCTTTTTATGCCTCTTGCTTTTTTATTTAACAATAAATCTGAGAGGTGAAAAGGTATTTTGTACATCAGAATATCTATATATCTTCCATATCAGCACACACATCCTTGTTAATGGTTGTGCCGTATTCCGTTGTATAGGTGAGGCATACTGTATTTAGCCAATCCCTTATTGATAGAAGCTCTTCAGTTTTTAATCTGTTGCATTTATCTATTGATACCACATGCCCACTCTTAGCTGCAGAAATGAAGTAGCACCTACTTAGCAAGGAGAACTAATTAAACAAAAAAAAATACTATCAGACTAGCAAAAATTCAAGTCTGGCAATACCAAGTGTTGACAAGGACGTGGAGGAACTGGCACTGTTATAGACGGTTGGTGAGAGCGGCAATTGTTCTAACCAGTTTGGGGAGAAGCTAGGCACTCTCTAGTCAAGTCAAAGGTATGCAGACCTTAGGCCCAGCAAATTTCCTATCCAAGAAACTCTAAAGAAACTCTCCCTGGCCAGCTGTGGTGGCTCATGCCTGTAATCCCAGCACTTTCGGAGGCTGAGGTGGGAGGATCACTTGAGCTCAGGGGTTTCAGACCAGCCAGGGCAACATGGCAAAAGCCTGTCTCTACAAAAATTATAAAAATTAGCCAGACGTGGTGGTGTGCGCCAGCAGTCCCAGCTGCTTGGGAGGCTGAGGTGGGAGGATCACCTGAGCCCAGGGAGCTTGAAGCTGTGCTGAGCTGAGATGGTACACAACTGAACTTCAGCCTGGGCAACAGAGTGAGACCCTGTCTCAAAATAAATCCCATATATGGACCAGGAAACAGGAATAGCCATTGCAGCATGTTGATGATAGCCATGCATAGGAACCAACTTAAATGTTCAACAATAGCAGAAAAGAGAAATAAATTATGGCGTATTCACATAGTGGAATAGTAGACAGCAATAAAAACAAACTATAGCTAGATGCATCAACAGGAATAAACTTCACAAACAATAATAAGTCAAAAATGAGTTTAATAAGGTTACATACAGTATGATGCCATTTTTACAAAGTTTTAAAGCATGCAAAACAATACCATATATTGTTTATAGGTACACACATTTGTAGTAAATGTAAAACTAAGTTCATGTAAGCCTGGGCAACATAGCAAGACCCATCTCTAAAAAAACAAAACATAAAAAAATTAGCTGGACATGGTGGTGCAGGCCTGTGGTTCTGGACACTCAGGAGGCCGAGGTGGGAGGATCACCGGAGCCCAGGAGGTCAAGACTGCAGTGAGCCATGATCACTCCACTGCACTCCAGCCTGGGTAACAGAGCAAGGTCCAGTCTCTTAAAAAAAAAAAAAAAGTGGGCGAGGCATGGTGGTTCACGCCTGTAATCCCAGCACTTTGGGAGGCTGAGGTGGGCAGATCACCTAAGGTCAGGAATTCAAGACCAGCCTGGCCAACATGGTGAAACCCCATCTCTATTAAGAATACAGAAACTATGCCCGTCAAACATGGTGGCAGTCACCTGTAGTCCCAGCTACTCAGGAGGCTGAGGCAGGAGAATTGCTTGAACCCGGGAGGCGGAGGTTGCAGTGAGCTGAGATCATGTCATTGTACTTCAGCCTGGGTAACAGAGTGAGACTCTGTCTCAAACAAACAAACAAACAAAAAGTGGAACACATTAGCATTGGAAGCTGCCACTTGCATTGTTAATACCTTTGAATTGCATCATCAATTCAAAGCTATTGGAGGGAACATCTGTGGCTGTTGGCCCTGGGTTTCCACCAGCCCTGGGCTGGTTAGAGTTTCTACCCATTCTAGTTCATGTATAATGCTGAGATGTTCACCCCAGTCATGAAGACTGCTCCAGCCAAGACCCTGGGCTCTAGTGGTCCCCAGGCCTGTGGGAGGGAAGCTCGTCTGTGCTGTCACATAAGCCTCAGGCTCTGCCCCTCTTTCTCCCAGAGGTCATTTCTAGAGCTTCCCCAGAGGGTTCAGATTATCCCTCTGTGACATCTAATCTCCTGCCTTAGGCAGCCTGATCCTGGGCTAAGTCTCTCCTGGCCGGGGAGCCTCTCACCCGGCCTCTTTCAAATCCCACAGTGCAGACCTTGGCAGTGTGGAGGGAGAGAGCCTGGTTCTTCCAGCCAACCCTGGGCAGCCTCCTGGTGCCCCAGGATAGAAAAAACACTCGCATTTCTTTGCACCATTGACCCCATCACCGCAGCACCAGAGCATCTGACATCTGCAAAACATCATTAGGTAGGTGTTAACTTTTCCCCATTGGTAGGCCTGGTGCTCGTAAATGTACTGTGACGAGTGTAATGTGTTTATGAGAATGTGCATAATAAATTATCAGAAATAGGCTGCATTTTTAATATCATTTAATATATCAAGTTGGCCTCTCAGCAGCCACAAGCTATATTGCAAACGCTGAACTGACTTGCTGGCGTCAGCGCTCCACCATGCTCTCCATGCCGAGGCCATAGTGTACGCCAAGAAGGAGGCAGGAGACCCCCAGAGTGGTGGTTCCTACCTCCCTTCCTGACCTCCCCTCCGTCATCTGGAATCTAAAGTTAAAAAGGGGTTTCATTTATCCCTGGGCCCCCTACAGAACGCAGCCTGGGGCCTGTGACAGGTGCACAATAAATATTTGTGGCTTCATGAATAAATGAATGGGCAAGAGACCTTGGCAGGCCCCTCTCCATCAACCAGCAACACTGTTTGGAATTCCTCCATCCCAGTGCCTCTGTTGGGTTAACATTTTCTGTTAATACAAAGAACGTTCTATTAGCACAGCAGGACAAGAGCTCCTCCGGTAATCAGGGAAGGGTGGAAACGGGGGACACATGTTAGGCCTGGGTCAGAGAGGGCCCTTCTTCTCCGGGCACATGAGCACCAGCCAAGATGCCAACCAAGGAACATCCAGTCAAGTGCTGCACAGAGGGCATTTCCTCAAAAACACATGTTACCTACCCTAAAGATCTGTTAGCTGGTCCTTCTCCACCAGGAAAGAGGTCAGAATATCCAAACAGGAGGATATCAGACCCCCCAGTGTGGCTTTGCCAAACCTTTCTGGAAATTCCAACACCTGCCTTGGGTTAGGCACTCACTTCCCCAGTGAAGAATCACTAAATATTGAGAAATGTCACTGATGGGCATATGTTACACATGTGAACAGCAGAGAGGCAGCCCAGCAGGTTGAAAAATCACTGTTAAACCATTAGCACCCTCTAACCCAGCAAGTCTCAACCTTCATTGTGCACCAGAATCATCAGGGGTACTTAAGAAGCGTCCTGAGTGTGCACACACATATTCTGAGTCAGTGGGTGTGAGGTAGGGGCCTGGAATCTGCATTATTGATAGACATCCTGGGCTGGGCGTGGTGACTCATGCTTGTAATCTCAGCATTTTGAGAGACCAGGGCAGGAAAACTGTTTAAAGCCAGGAGTTGGAGACTAGCCTGGGTAACATGGGGAGACCCCGTCTCTACAAAAATTTTAAAAATTAGCTGGGGATGGTGGTGCATGCACGTGGACCCAGTTACTTGGGAGTCTCAGTTGGGAAGATCACTTGAGCCTCAGGAAGTCGAGGCTGCAGTGAGCCATGATCTCACCACTGCACTCCAGCCTCGGTGACAAAGTAAATAGACACGCTAGTGCTACAGATACCTGGACCATTTTTTAAAGAACGCACTTAATCTCATTTGACAGGAGCCTTTGAGAGGGTCTGTGGGGAGTTAGGAGAAAGCTCAGAAGCTCGTTGGGAAAAGCAGGGGGCAGAGAGGCAAGGGCACGGGGCTCCTGAGGGCTGTGACCAAGGGCAGACTCTATCCACTTAACTTTGCCAGAGGCTGATCCAGCTGCCCAGCTGCCCACCTCAGCATTGGGAATGGAAGGCAACGTGATTGATGAGGCTATGGACATATCCAACAGCTTAGAGATGCCCACACATGCCAGCCAGCGCCCAGCCTTGGTAAGTGCATCCACTTGTCACCTGGTCCTGGCAGCAGACACGGAGCAGCCAACCGCATGTCACTGGTAGAGAAATCGAGCCAGGCACTGGGAGTGCAATGACAGTTTGCACCAGGAAGGTTTGCACCAGGGCGATTTGCACCAGGAAGGTTTGCACCGGGACGGTTTGCACCAGGAAGGCAGGGGCAGCAGAATCACAATTCCCTGAGTGCCAGTTGCACACTGGGCACTGTGTACCCATCCTCGCCTTTAACTCACACCAGCTTGTTCTTATTCTCCCCCATTGCTGATGAGACCCAGGGCCTGTTAAGCAACTTGCCCAAAGTCTGGCACGCTTAGGAGGAGGCACACCTGACTTTTGACTCTACGTCTGCCTACTCCGTGACCTATGCTCTTTCTAGAAAGTAGACACCTGCCCAGATAACACCACTTCTGTCCCTTGGGGAGGCCCCACCCCATTTCAGCTGGGCTCAGAGCTGGGCAAATTCAGACCTAGAGTGGATTTCAACTCTGCCACCTGCCAAAGGCTGGACCCCAACATGCCATGTGTTTCTCCAGTGGGCATCCTGGAATTCCCTGGCTCCATGCTTAGGAGGCTGGGCCCTCCACCTGACTTCTTCCAAACCCTCCCCGAGAGCCAGCTCCTGCAGAGCCAAGAGCCGTGAGCTGATCCTCCAAAAACCAGACCCCCAAGAGAAGAGGCCAGGAGGGAGAAGCCAGCTCTTGGTGAACACAGTCACAGGGCCTTGATGTTAAAAGGGCAAGGCTCAGGGGTCAGGATGTCCAGGTCTCATCCCCAGTCTGCCTCTTGCTAGTCACTTGACCTCCCGCAGCCTCAGTCTCCCCAACTGTAAGATGATGACGACACCCTGTAGCTCCTTAGTAAAGGAATGATAAAATGACAGCTCAGCGTCTGCATTTTAATACCTGTGTTATTATATAATCATTTTGTGATGCAGCCACCTCTGGCACAGAAAAAGTCACTCTGTGCCTATTTAAGGATTAATCCCCTTAAGCATTCCTGGAAATGAGAGCCCCTCTGTGCCAGGCTGCCCTCCCAGGCTCTTCTGTCCTTCCCTTGGCCTTTGGCTCTTGGAAGCCTGAATATTTCTCCCACCAGGACCTCAGACTATCTTTAGGGAACCCCCAGGCCAGTCATTCCCACTGTATCCCCTGAGGCTCTTGGCCTCCTTCCCTCCTTCTCTTCCTCCTCCTTTCTTTCCCCCTCCTTTCTTTCCCCCTCCTTCCCCTCCTCCTCAGTTTGGGCTTCCCATGTTTTACCTGTTTCCAGCTCTGCTCTGAGCCTCTGAGCTCTGTAGTGGAGGGGAGGAGAGGGAGAAGGGAGGGAAAGTGGAAGCATCAAAAAGGACACTGGGCTGTCATCGCAGCTCTGCCGCCAGCCAGCAGTCCCCCTGGGCACATCCTTGTGCCTGAGCGCTAATTTCCTCACCTGTGAAATGGGAACAGCAGGCCCTGCCTACATCCTGGGGTGGTTTAAGGAATCAATGAGATGACAGCTGTGAATGTCCTTGGCACAGTACAACGTATGCCATGTGTTTCTCCAGTGTTTTCAGAGGCCGGTAGTGCCCGCCACCACCCAGTTCAGAACTCAGTACAAAACATGAATTTCTCATCGCTTCTCACCATGAGTCTTGTCTTTCCAAAGGAAGGGAGAAGGGAAAGCCGACTGAGCCCCTCTTATCTGTCATGTTCTGTGCTGGATGGGGCTTTGCCACAATGCTGTGCAGTTGGAAACAGCCTCACTCCATAGATGAGGAAACTGAGGCTCAAAGAGGTCGAATAGCCTGCCAGAACTGTGCAGCTGGAAGCCGTAGAGCAAGGTTTGGCCTCTCTTTACTCTGCTCCCCATCACTCTGCAAGGGATACAGTGGGGGAACAAGAGCGGCTTGGAGCCCCTTATTCAGACTCAACAAAGGCACCCAGCTAAGAAGCTAAGTGTCTTTCCCGCCAGTGGAAACCAGAGGGTAAACAGGATTCCATTCATGCCCAGGGCTTTCCGGGAACACACCTGTCCAAGCAGCAGCAGTTCCCAACAGAGCTCTGGTCCGGAAAGCCAGACAACCAGGGCTGGGCCCTGTGGGATTTGTTTAGTGATCTGACCATGTGGGAGGCCTAGAGTAGGAGTGTGGTGGGGGGAGGGTGCCGCCCAGCCTCATTGCATCACTCACCGCCCAGACCTTCCCCTCACCCGCTCCTGACCAGGCCCTGTCCAGGTTCTCAGCCACCCTGCCGCGGTGGGTCCTTCGGACTACCCACTGACCGAGTGAAGGACTGACCCGAGGTTTGAGTGCTGCGTTGTATGTGACCTGAGAATATGTGTGCACAGACTGTGCCCCCGTGTCCTTGCACAGTTGAGCGTCTACATGTCCTGCCCGTGTGTAGGCAGCCTGTCCCTACACGCTAGGAGAGTGACTCCATGTCCTGCTAGATGGGGGAGGAGAGAGGGACTTGTGTCCAGGGTCCCCTGGTCACTTCTATGGGCGCATGTTTGTGTGTCTTGTTAGGGGTGCTTGAAGGTGTGGAAGCCTGTGTCCTGGGTGCCCTTGACCTGTGTGTGCGCTCCATGAGGTGTGCGCGCGTGTGCACGGGGGGTGCGCTGTGTCACGGCACCCTCAACCAACTCTACGTGCGCATGCAGACGTTTGTATGTGTGTCCTACGGTGTCAGCGAGCGGATGCTTCCACCACGTCTCTCTGCACACGCGTGTGTGCACTTGCACACCTGCGTGCGTCCCGAGAGAGCGAGCAGAGCCCGGCGTGGGCTGGCAGGCGTGGGAACGTGTGGGTGCGCGTCCTGCGGGTCCCTGCCCGCCTGGCTCCCCGCTTGTACCGCGGCCGTGCATGAGCGGAAGGCGCCGGGCGGCCCTGCCCGGCCGGAGTGTGCGCGCGCGGGGTCCCGGGCCGGCGTGCGCGCCGGTGTGAGTGCGAGTGAGTGTGGCGCCGCGCGGCTCCCTCCGCTCCGCGCCGCCCGCGCAGTCCGCACACTCACCCTGCTTGGCTGCTGCCGGGTGACGCGGGCTGGGCCCGCCCCCTGCCTGCCGGCCCCTGGCGCTCTCTCCAGCCGTCCGCAGCGGAGCGGGCAGCAGCCGAGTCAGGGCCGTCCGGGGGCGCGGCCGGCGATGCCTGCAGCCCCCGCCGCGCCCCGCCGGGCCTGCTGAGCCGCCCCCGGGCCGGGGTCTCGCCGGGCCTGGCCGCGCCCGGGGCGGGGCGGCGCTGCCTGCATGACCCTCCGGCGGCGCGGGGAGAAGGCGACCATCAGCATCCAGGAGCATATGGCCATCGACGTGTGCCCCGGCCCCATCCGCCCCATCAAGCAGATCTCCGACTACTTCCCCCGCTTCCCGCGGGGCCTGCCCCCGGACGCCGGGCCCCGCGCCGCTGCGCCCCCGGACGCCTCCGCGCGCCCGGCCGCGGCCAGTGCCGGCCGCCGCAGCCCCTCCGACGGCGCCCGCGAGGACGACGAGGATGTGGACCAGCTCTTCGGAGCCTACGGCTCCAGCCCGGGCCCCAGCCCGGGTCCCAGCCCCGCGCGGCCGCCCGCCAAGCCGCCGGAGGACGAGCCGGACGCCGACGGCTACGAGTCGGACGATTGCAGTAAGTTTCCAACTCGCCGACTTCGCGCCCCCTCCCCTGGCTCGGGCTCGGCGCCCCCAGGCCTCGCGGGTCCCCTCGGCCGGTCCCCCCCGCGTGGTCGCGCCCTCCCTCGGCGCACACCCCCCCTCGCGCGCTCCGTGCACTCTCCGCGCCCTGCCCGCCGGCCTCGAGCCCTCCCCGACCCGGACCGGAGAGGAGGGAAGTTTGGGGGCCCCCCCTGGGGGTGTCCCATTTCCGGGGCCGGGTTCCCGGGAGCCGGCGCCGCGCCCCCTCCCTGCCAGCCCGCCCTCCCCAGGCTCCGGCGCGGGCGGCTGCTTTTGTTCCCGGGAAGGGCGGAGCTGTGTCCCGGGGAGACACCAGTTGCTGCCGGCCTCGCGCTTGCTCCCCGCTCGCCAGCCGCTCCGGGAGGGCCTCGCGGCCGAGGGTCGGGGTTGGGGCGGGCTGAGCAGGGGCCCGAGGCTGGGAGCGGCCCGGCCTCCCGCGTGGGCCCGGCGGCCCGCAGAGCGCAGCGGCTTTGCCGGTGCGCGGGCAGAGGACCAGGAGGACCGCGGGGCCGCTTGTCCTTTGGAAAATCCTTGGCGGTTCCTCCTCCCGTGTCCATGGACCCCTTCGCGGCGCTGGCCAGGGCCGCGCACCTGCGCCCACCTGTTACGCCCGCGGCCCCCGGGCAGAAAGGGCCTCCCAGCCCGCTCCCCTCCTCCCGGACTGAGCCCTGAGCCCCGGGGAGCAGGCAAGCGCCGGAGTCCCGGGACCGAGGCCCGGCCGGTGGGCGCCCTTTCCCATCCACCGGGCCGGACAGGCTGGGAAACCGAGGCCGGAAGAGGTCGCAGTCCAGTGAGGAACCGGTTTGCGCGGGGTGGGGATGGGATGTGAGAACCCCCTCCTAGCCCAGCTGTGGCTCCCGACTTGCCACTGAGACCTGGAAAACCAGCGTCAAACCCCAGCCCTTCCCGGGATGTGGCCCCGGGCAGGAGTCCTGCTCCAGCTTCTCCAGGGCTGGGGCTGCCCCTCCCCTGTGCAGGGGTGTCTGCGCCTGGCTTGGGCACTCACCAGGGCCTGTGGGCTGCGGGCCTGGAGTTTCCCAAGCATCAAATGTGCCAGCAGAAGCTGAAGGTAGGGATTACCAGTGCCCCCGGGGTGGAGACCCCCCATCGCTGCACCTGGGGAGGCCCATCAGCAGTAGCCGGTTAGAGCAGGGCCCCTGTAGGGAAACTGCCTGCCAGGCACTTTTTCGAGGCTTGGACCACGGCCCTCGGGCCAGCGCCTGGCATATGAAGGCCCTGCCCTGGGGTGTGGGGGCTGGGGAGCCGTCTTGTCCCTCCACTTTCCTGCCAGCTTGGGGAAATTGGGTCGGAACAGTTTTTGCCCTCAGGGCTGTGCCCTAGATCCACCCCCTCCCCTCTGCTCCTGGCGCCCTGTGCAAAGCTCACCCCGGACTTGCTGAGCCTCTGGGCAGGCCCTAAGTGGCCACTCGTTTGGCTGGCCTGAATCCAAAGCCTCCCCCAGAAGAAGGGATGGGAAACTTGTTCCCATTTCCGGCATCACTGCCACTGCACCAAGGAAGTAAGAGGGGAGGGCAGAGCTTCAGGCCACCCTCCTGGTTCCACAGAGGGCCCTCTGGATAGCGAATGGCCAAGAGACTTTTTTTTTTTTTTTTTCTGTCTCTGAACCCACAAAGCAAGGAGGGGACCAGGAAGCTCAAAACTCAGGCCAGCCGGCCCCAATGTCCAATTCATCAACTCAGCAGCCCTTGGCGGAGCATGTCCTGGCAGCAGTGCTGGGTCCCTGGCCTCAGATACATGCCATGCAGGGGCCAGACTCACACGGGGTCAGCAGTGCAGGGCAGAGCTGGACGCAGCTTTGCCAGCTGCGTCCAGTGGGCTGGCCACACCCGTATTACCAGGACACGCCAAAGAAATGCTAAAAACGGGCTCAGAGGAGCTAAGGAGGACGGTGTGCCACCGAGCCAGGGCCTGCGTGGGCCCCTGTCGCCCCCTTCAAGGGGTGCCCCACCCCAGGCTTGGATCCTATGGGAGGCTGAGCAAATATCCTAGGCACAGGAGCCCAGAAATCTTGGCTCTCGTCCGTGGTGGGGGAACAGGGTCTGGGGTGGCACTGCCTTCCACCCAGTACCCCAGGCCGTGCCCCCCTCTGGGCTGTGACAACCAGATCCCTAGAATAAGCCTAAGTGATTCAAGCCAGATGGTTCATTATGGCTTTAGCCAGGGTTATGCTATTTGCTGCCCTAATTATTGGATTATCTCTGTTCTGACAGAAATGAGGGCGGTTGCTCTGTTGTCCAAGGCAGAGAGTGAAGTGCTGTTTATTTACTCAGCCTTTTCTCCTGGTTCTTTAAAGCCCTTCCTTTATTAAGTCATGTCAAAGCACAAGCACCCAACTCACGTGTTCCCAGCAGATCTCGCAGAGGGGCGATGACAGGGAGGAAAGGCAGTGAATGTCCTAATGAGCAGGACCTGGTGTCCGCCCTGCCAGTTCTCCTAGGATGGCCTCTGTGGCGTGCTGCCCTCCAGGTGGGCCGTGGGCCCCACACACCACACGCTGCCCCTACCTGAGTTGCTCTCCTGCCTGGTCCCCACCTGTGGAAGCCTAGTTCATTCTTCAAAGCTGTAATCACTAGAGTGCTGTGGGTTGCAAGTCACAGAAAACCAACTCAGAGTGGCTTAAACAATGAGGACGGCTGAGGTCTTGCCACACCAGGGTGCACCAATGTGTCAGCACCTCAGCACCGTCAGGGGTGATGGTCCTGTCCGTCTTTGCACGTGGCTGTGCGCTTTTCCTTGTAGACCAAAAATCAAGGCCCATTTCCTATTCCAAAGGGTGTCTGAGTGAGGAAGGTTCAGGTGCAAACCAAGGTCAGAATGACACTGTCAGTCTCCATCAGCAAAGCAGGACCCTCGGGTCCAAGGTGGCTGCTGCAGGTCCAGGCATCACACGTAACAATAAGGTCCTTGATTGGGTAAGAACTGATTCCTTTTCTCGTGTCTCAGTTAAGGAGCAAGGAAACCTCTCCGAGAAGTCCCCAGGAGACCTGTCCTTTTATCTTGTTGGCCAGCATTGCCTCATATGTCCATGTTAAACCTGCCCCGTGTGGTTCACCCGGGACCGGGTCAGGACTGATGCCCATGCAGGTCTGGAGCAAGGACAAAGTGTTGAGTCCACCGCCAAGGTTCTCCTTGTCAGGGGGCATATTCCAGCCCCCACTGGCTGTGGTGCCCCTTCCTCTGAGCCCAGAACCTCTTTGGCCCCAGTCATGTTGTACCTGGACCCGTGATATTTTCAATGCACTCAATGTTACAGCACCACCTATGTGGCAGGCTCTGTGTCACGCACGTGTAACATACAAGAGTGCTGAGAGGCAATCTCTGACCGGAGGGTATTCATCAAAACCAAGACAAACAGGTGACCCGCAGCAAGGGTCAGGGAAGAGGAACCCAAATGGGAAGCTCTGGCTCGCAGAGGTCACTCACAGAGAGGGCTCAACCCTAAGACGGGGGGGAGGGAGGAGGTGGGCTGGCAGAGGGGAAAGAGGAAAGGGGGGTGCTCCTGGCAGAGGGACAGCTGTGTACACAGGTCCTGAAGTGTCAGAATCTCAGCCCAGTGTAGGCAAAACAATAGAACCAAGTGGCTCAAAGAAGCGGAAGGGACCTATGAGGAGGCCAAAGCGGTCATATCACGGAAGGTCTTAAAGGCCACACCAAGGAGGTTGAACTGAGTCCAGGAGTTGATGGAGAACCTTCCAACAATTTAAAGCAGATGATGAAGATGTTTATAAAAATCTTAACACTCATCTCTCAGGGTTAGAGGGAAGCAGGGATGACGGCTCATTTCTCTCTATCCTCCCTGCAGTGCTGGCCTGGCTCAGTGGCTCGGTTTCCCCAACTATAAAATGCTTTCAACACAAGCTTGATGGTTTTCTATGGTCGTTGCCACAGATTTTTTTTTTTTTAACTATTTGAGAGCCTGATATTTTTCTTCCAAAAAAAAAAAAAAAAAAAAAATCAGGGTAGATTTCCTATTCCCAAGGGTGTCGGGAAAGTCCAGGCACAAACAAGGTTATGGTGATGCTGTCGGTCTCCATCAGCCGAGCGGGAGGCGTTCGGCCTCAGGGGAGCCAGCAGGGGCCTGAGCTCGATTTTCTCTGAATTAGCCCCGTTAAAGCTCCATCATTATCGACAAACGGGTGACAACTCTCCAACGCCCGTTAGTGACCAGCCCTCGTTATTTTTCCGAAGATGTAAACTTCGGTGAGGTCATGGGATTTGCGCTCCAAGGGCAGGGCTCTGTGGCTCACAGAGAAGCACCTTCTCCTGCCCTCAGGGCCCTCGTCACTCCCGGCACAAGCCCGAGGTGCGTTTCGAACTCAGAGGGCTCTCCAGGGCCGCGAAGCGGCTGAGCCCTCACCCTCCTTCCCCAAGAGCAACTCTGCTTTTCTCTCTTTTTGTTTCTTAGTTGCATCCTCCTAAGATTTCAGCTAAACGAAGTGGCAAAAAATAAACAGCAACAACAACAAAAAAACACTTTTTGGACCAGGGCAGAGTGGCCCGTGCCTGTAACCCCAGCACTTTGGGAGGTGGAGGCGGGAGGATTGCTTGAGCCCAGGAGTCCAAGACCAGCCTGAGCAACGTTGTGAGACGCCCCCCAACACACACCACTGTCCCCCCCCACACACCACTGTCCCCCCTCACACACACACACCACTGTCCCCCCAACACACACCACTGTCCCCCCTCCCCCCAACACACACCACTGTCCCCCCCCACACAGGTCCAGGCATCACACGTAACAATAAGGTCCTTGATTGGGTAAGAACTGATTCCTTTTCTCGTGTCTCAGTTAAGGAGCAAGGAAACCTCTCC